AGAGAGAGAGAAGGAGAAGGAGAAGGAGAAGGAGAAGGAGAAGGAGAAGGAGAAGGAGAAGGAGAAGGAGAAGGAGAAGGAGAAGGAGAAGGAGAAGGAGAAGGAGAAGGAGAAGGAGAAGGAGAAGGAGAAGGAGAAGGAGAAGGAGAAGGAGAAGGAGAAGGAGAAGGAGAAGGAGAAGGAGAAAGAGAAGGAGAAGGAGAAGAAGAAGAAGAAGGAGAAGACTATAGTCTTAGTATAGTTAGTAATAAAGTAAAAGAATAAGAAGGAAAAGGAGGAGTTTAAGAGTATGTGTGTAAGTATAACTAATAAATTATACATAATAACTAACTATTTACACAGGTTCTAATACTGTTACAAATGTAGAAAAATTAAAAATAGTAGTAGAAAAGAGGAACAAGTTAGGTATAAATTAAATGTATGACTAACAAATTATACACTACTAATATTATCTTTACTTAGTTTCTAAAGAATTTACAAAACTAAAAAAGAAAAAGCTAGTTGTAGAGAAAGAGAAGGTTAATATAAGAAAGGAATAAAAGGAGAAACAAGTTATAGTTAGTAAGTACAAATATGACTAATAAATTATACTAAGCTAAAACAATGTTTCTCCTAGTTTCTTAAGTAGTTACAAAGTTAGAAAAGAAGAAAGAGAACAAAAGTAAGGAAAAAAGTAATATAGATAAAAGGTAGTTAATTTTCTAAGTATACTAACTCTATTTTGTTATTTAAAGCTAGTACTAGTACTCTTAAGTAAGAAGTACACTATTATTAAAGTAAAGATTCTAGTCTCTAGTAAGAAAATATGTACAAAAAACTAGAAAGTTATAATAGAGTCTTTAAGTAAGAAGGATAAGAATATCCTTCTAGATTAGGTAGAGAGAATAGTCTTCTACACACTTAAGTGTATAAAGTGTATAGAGAGGCACAAGGGTTCTTAGGAATCTACTTACTAGACTGTAATAGATTAACTATACTATAGTAATCTGAGTAAGTCTGTTTCAATCTTATTTTTGACTGTGTTAATAGTAATTGTTTGTGTAGAAAACTAGTATACAGTGTACATATTCTACTACTTTAAATATAGTCTGAAGAGAATCTAGTATAAGACTAGAGGGCAAACTGTAGAATTACACAGTATAACTTAGAACCTACATTCTGTCATCCCTCTAATCATACATAGTAAAGCTGGAACAGTCTACAACCTCTACTTACAAATGACTAAAGAGCTGAACAATCTAGAGTTGTAACTAATAATAATAAAGAACAAGTTTGATACAAAGATTATAACTCTAAAACAGAGTATTAACTTCTTAACTATAGTAGTAGAAGCCTAGATTTTCACAACTGTTAAGTGTTACTAGTAGGGAATTGATCCCTATGTTTTAGTTTCTAGTACAAGACTAGGAGAGTATATTGAAAAATTACACATTCTCAGATTAGGAGTCTGTAACTTCTCTACTTAGTTCTACTTTAAGTATAGTATCTAAAGTACAGTTGTCTAAATCATCTGTATTCTTACAACTAGTTCTGTACAGTTCCACATCTTCTAGTGTTAGTTCTGTAGCCTTAATAAGATGTAAGATAGGAACTGTTAAACATGAATGTAGAAAATACAGAATTAAGTAAAATGCTATAATACATAACTTGGCCACTACTCTGTCCAGTTCTGTTACAACATAAGTGTTTCCTTTTGTTCTTTATACTACTACAAACAGTCTAAGGTATTACAGTTTCATCTTTTGTCCTAAGTTATTACTCACTTTCAAATTGTAGATTAGTACTAGTATACCTAGGGCAAAGTTGTAGTCCTTGATCTGATTACAATTGACTTCTGTAAAATACTTTACATATCTTTTGTAGGCTTTCTGAACACATTCTATCATTTGTATAAGGTTGTCTAGTCTCTTCTACAATTGTTGTGCTTGTATTACTACTAGTTCCTCTGTTGTTAGTAGTACTCCTTCAGGTAGAACCAAATACATTGTCTTGTTCAGGTCAAACAGTAATATTGGCTCTACTCTATAAACAAGGTAATAAAGAGAATATCTAGTCACTTTCTGAATCATAATCTGCTCTACCTAGAACACAGAATGTATGTACTTATACTAATGTCTAATATTGTCTCCTACTGTCTTTACAATTGCTTCCTATACATTCAAGTGTTTCTACTCAATAATTCTGTTTGTGTAGGAGTTATATGTAGAAATCCAAATATGATTAATATAGTATCATTCTTACAAATAGTCCAATACTGTAATGTAAAGTGTTCCATTGTCTGTTACAAGCTTAGAACATACTCTGTATCAGTATAGAAGTTCCTTAAAGATGAACTGTCCTATTGTCCTTCTGTTCTCTGTACAAAGCATGTGAAACTCCAGATACTCTAATAACAAACAGTGTGTATACACAATATATCAGAATCTTCCTACTTTCAGTATAACCTTTGTATTTATGTAAATCTTTTGGAAAAGTAGTATAATCTCTAGAATACTTGGTAGAATCAGTACTTGTTATATCTGCTGAGTCTAACATGTATGACAAGTCCTAATGAAGTACTTAATGTCTTCTGTAAGAGATGGTCACCAGAACCAATCTAGTAAACAGGCTTGTACTACAAAGATTCCCTTGTGTCCTAAGTCTTTGTGTACTATCCTAACCAACTCCTATCTCCTATCCTTATCTGACACAATCTGATGCTTTCCTTCAGGACCTTAACACCAAATCTTGTTGTTCTGTACAAAGAACTGTACTACATATTATATAAATGTTGGAAAATTAGTGTCTACAATTCTACTTAGTTTGTAGAGCAAGCTAAGATACTCTTTCACAGCCTTCAGTCTTACTTCTTACCTTTTAGTAGTTGGTGATTGTAGGAATCAATCTACTGTTACATTCAAACCCTCAGTCTTGTTACTACAGATAATGTGTACAACCCTTATTAGCTCTAGATTGTCACCTTCTGCTTTATCATCTGCTCCTTCTACCTCCTCAGTTTGTACAACTCTGTAAGACTCTCCTTTAGCTTCCCATTCCTGTAGTCCTTTGTCTGCTTCATCTTCTACTCTTCTAGGTTCTGGATTGAGTTATTCTAGTGTATCTTAATGTATCCAATTCTAGTTCTGTTTCAGAATAACAACTTCTGAGAATAATCTATATTGTAGTCTGCTAGAATATAATGCCTGTAGCACATCCTTGTTTACTTGAAATGATTCATTAATAATGTTGTTGTGTGTCTCCTAGCACATTACATTTAAAACCTAGGACTGTGTTTCTACACACTCAACTAATAAAGCTTTGTGTTCTGTAGACCTGCAAATCTCTGACTAATGTCTGTGTTACATAGATTCTATTTCTACTGTATAAAATCTGTATGACTTGTCAATCCAGTCTTCATAGGTTTCATTGTCTAGAGGGTCTTTAGGTGCTGCTCAGTATTATAATAATCTGTCTGTACACTTGAAGTCTGATGTAGGAATGTAGCAGAACTCAAAATCAAATAGTAAAATACTAGCTATCTAGCAATTGATTATAGCATTAGGCTGTAGGTCAGGCTTATTAATCATTCCCTTTATGTATGAAGCATCCATTTCCACAATTAATTTCTTAACACTTATGAGATATATGTATAATGTGTAAAGTGTACAATAAAGTCCAAACAGCTCTATTTTTGCTTACAAATATTGTACTTACATTGTGTTCCAGTTAATCAATCTGAATTGATTTATTCTCTGTTTACAATCTGGGTACTCCCAACCAATATACTATCCTACTCTAATAATAGACAAATCTACTGTCAAGACTACTAGATACTCTGACTCATAGTTGATTAGTATTAGTGTAGAACAATGTAAAACTGCTTCCTTGAGTACATTCATAGATTTCTGTACTTTGTCATTCTAATTGAATATCAAGTTCTTTTGTGTGAGTCAATTGAGTGGTTGTTAGGAATTGTAAAATACAGTAACTAAGTTTGGAAAAGCTTAACTCAAGACTTGGGACTGAGTAGTTTATATACAAAACCCTATTGGTTACAAGTCTAGAGATTAGCTAGATCAACTAGGCTACCTTTGTTGTCCTGCTTAGTAAGAACTCTAGCTCAGCATTATTAACCTCTAATCATTACTAATGGGTGATCAATCCATCAGTAGAGAGAGGGGACAGGAAGGAGTAGGTACTAAGTCAGTTAGGAAAAGGTAACAAAACCTAAGGACAAGGTC